GGGGAACTCCCAACTTTGTGGGCTTTTCATGTCAATTTCCCATTAGCTCACCCCACTGACGTCCCCCCGTCCATGTCGTCAGAAGAAGCTTTTCAAAATCAAGAGCTTCCAGTTCCCCGGAGAAAAGGGCCTTCACTCGCAACGACAGCTAAGTCGCCGCTGCCCGGCCCCCCAAAAAAAAAAATTATCGACAATTTGAGCAAGGGCCGAGATCATTTAAATACAAGCCTTTGATACTATTAGGGATTGGTTGTCAAATGTTGCGGGGAGGGGAAGGGGGGCACGAGTCACGCGGAAATTAGACGGCAAACCAAAAATCGGTCGCTCAAAAAGAGCTACCTGTTTCATTTCCCCCTCGCTATAGCGTGATTTTTTCTCTCTTTGGTCGTTTTCGTCTTCCCTGATTTTTTCTTTTGGTTTGGGTTCGAGTGTCTTGGTTAGATTCTTCTGCCCGTGCCTAATCTATTGTTATATTTTTCCCCTGGGTCGCGTGTTTGCTCCGACTGTTGTTGTCGTCGCCAGTTGTAACAAACCCCGTTGTCGCTGTGTTTCGTGCTAGATTCAAATTATTTTTTTTCACTAGCGATTCCGAAACACCTCGTCCCGCAATATACGAAAATTCAAACATAGAGGGGTGTGTTGGTGCAGTTGCCTCTCTTTTTCTTTCGGCTCGTTGTTGTTACTGCTCACAAGCGGGGGGTTTTTCAGGCTCATTTGCTCGCTGTCGTGTGACCTGTGTGTTTCCTTTTCCTATTTATTGATCACGAAGGCGCGGCACATTGTAATTCATACCTGTCGTTAACCAAGAAAGGAGTAGTAAAGCGCACGCACGCACGTCGAGGAAACGAGAGAGAGAACGGCAGACGACGGATTGTTTGGCGAAGGCATTGAACTTTCGAAGATCAAGCAGCCAATCCATCAGCAAATCTACTCCACGTTAACCAGGTCGAAGGTCACACTCCGTTACGCAACCTGTTTGCCCACGGACTTCTTCGTCACTTCCCTCTCCCATTGATTGCACTCTACCGTGCTGGCTCTCAGTTCACGCCATGGATATCCAAGCAATTACTAACGGATCCTCAGTCCACAAACAGGTTTTTTTGGGTCACAGCAGCGGTTCTACCGAAAACGATGCTGTGGCAATCTCATATCCCGCCACCGAAGTGGTGGGCCATGGTTCGTTTGGCGTCGTCTTCACCACTAAGATCAACGAAAGTGGCGACCGCGTGGCCATCAAAAAAGTCCTTCAGGATCGTCGTTTCAAAAATCGCGAACTGGAGATAATGAAGCAACTTCGGCATCCTCAGATCGTGGATCTCAAATACTACTTTTACGAAACAGATCCTGAAAATGAGGTCTATCTGAACCTCATTCTTGAGTATATGCCACAGTCGCTCTACCAGCGACTGCGCCATTTCGTTTCTCAGCGAACTAACATGCCCCGCATTGAGATCAAATTGTACACGTACCAATTGGTCAAATGCCTGAATTACCTGCATACACACGCCAAAGTGTGTCATCGAGACATCAAACCCCAGAATCTACTAGTGGATCCAGAGACATTTGCACTCAAACTCTGTGATTTTGGTAGCGCCAAGCAACTCAGGCCCTCGGAGCCCAATGTGTCCTACATTTGTTCACGCTACTACAGGGCTCCTGAGCTGATTTTCGGTGCCACCAACTACACAGTGCAAATTGACGTTTGGTCAAGCGGATGTGTGATGGCTGAGCTCATACTCGGCCAGCCCATGTTTCCCGGTGAAAGTGGGATCGACCAACTTGTGGAAATCATCAAGATCCTGGGAACCCCCACCAAACAGGAAATATGTTCGATGAACCCTAATTATATGGAGCACAAGTTCCCGCAGATACGGCCTATCCCCTTGGCCAAAGTGTTCAAACGCGAGGACGAGCAGACCGTTCAATTTCTATCGGACGTGCTGCGATACGACCCTACCGAGCGGTTCACCGCCCTGCAGTGCTTGTGCTCGCCATATTTCGACGAGCTACGCCAAGCCAAGGAACAGGACCCGCAACTTGCTGAAGCTGTCCAGAAACTGAATTTGCTGGACTTCAGCGACCAACTCGATTTCGACTCGCTTTCTCTCGAAGAAACCCAGAATGTGAGAGAAAAACTTCTACTATAAGCTGTCATAGTGGTGTTTGTGAACTCTTCACAAGACCAAACAAAAGACACCGAATAAAACAAAAGACAAAAATAAAAAAAGAACCAAGTTTGCTTGCTCACTTAACCTAACCCGACTTACCATTCTGTTCCTCCCCTAATGACGTTCACGAACAATCCTGCACTAACACACAAACTGCCCTACTAGTGATGTGACTCTACAAAAACGCCAAAAGCCTATTGCTGCTACAGCCGCGCTCGGCGGATGGAAATTTTTGTAAAACTAGGGCCCTCAAAAGCACGAAGCTTTTATTGATTGCATCCAACGAATCGCATGCATATTATTATTCCCCATTTTTCTACGTGAACACTACAAAAATAAAGGCTCGATCTTTCGGCACTAAGTCATTCAGCCCTGGCTGCTAGACAATTCTATTTTGTCACCTAAGCTCAAATAGTTTTCCTTTGAGTTGAAGTAAAGATCTTAAAGTTTCCTCTGTTGCACTGCGCTCGTGGATAATGACATCAACACTTTTTTACAGTATATTGGTCTTTATATAAAAGTCATAACTGCCAACTGCTTTAAGTTCGAACGAAAAGTCCGAAAAGTAAGACAGATAGCCCCAAGTTGAAGCAGTTGAACTGGATTTAGGCTGCTTTGTGGTTTTCGAAAGTGGTGTCACATTAGATACGGCTTTGTCTCGACTTTTCCTGACCAAAATTGAGTGAGTAATCGCTAAATTACGGCTCATAGCCTCAAACCGTTGTTCTCAAGCCGCCAATATAGGTAGCCAAGGGTTTCGTCTCTCGAATCAGCGAAACCAGGGTTCGCTTGTTGAGACTTGCTTTTAAAAAAGTCGGCATCTTTTCTTGCGCATTGGGTCAAGTGGGATAATCGTGGCTATGAACTATGTATTTCAGTATGCTCTGCCACCTGAGATAACGTTGGGACAATACCTTCTGCATAGATTGAGGCAACTGGGAGTACATACGATATTTGGACTACCGGGTGAGTTTAATATGCCTCTTCTCGATAAATTGTTCAGTGTCCCGCAGATGGTATGGGCCGGAAACACTAACGAGCTGAACGCTGCATATGCAGCAGACGGTTATTCACGCATCAAAAGACTCGGGTGTTTGATCACGACTTTTGGTGTTGGTGAGTTATCTGCGCTGAACGGTATTGCCGGATCGTTTGCGGAACACGTAGGTATCGTCCATGTTGTCGGGATGCCACCTTTATCTGCTCAAGTCAAACAACTGCTATTGCACCATACTCTAGGAAATGGTGACTTCAAAGTGTTCTACAGAATTGGAAGCGACGTGGCAGAACATACCACAGTGCTCAATAACTCGGAAACTATTGCAGAAGATATCAACAAAGCTCTCACCATTGCATATACCAGACAGAGGCCCGTTTACGTCGGGATTCCCGTGAACATGGTTAACATGCCCGTGGATTCATCTCTCCTGAATACTCCTCTTGATTTAGGCCCGTCAATTCGCAACGAGGACATCGAAAATGAATTTATCGACGCAGTCCTAGATGCGATGTACAAAAGTGAAAACCCAGCAATCATCGCAGATGCTTGTGTTTCACGACATGGCTTGGTGGAAGAAATGAGACAACTGGTAGATATCACAGGATTCCCCGTTTTCTGCACACCAATGGGGAAAGGGTCCATAAATGAACAGCATCCGCGGTTCGGGGGAACATTTCTGGGCTCTATTTCGTCCCCGCAGGTTCGGGAGGTGGTAGATTTCAGTGATTTTATATTAGTAGTTGGTGCACTTCTGTCAGACTTCAGCACGAGCTCATTCCATTTTGCATACAGGACGAAAAATACAATTCTACTTTTCTCCAATCACGCCAAGCTGAAAAATGCTACCTATCCCGATCTTGAGCTCAAGGTGGTACTAGAAGTTCTTTTGGCTAGACTAGATCCCTCCAAGATACGATACAGGCCGCAGAGCTTTCCAGACGTTTTGAAGCCGAAATTAAAGCTAATGAATAATGTGCCATTACGTCAAGAGTGGATTTGGAGTCAATTGACGTCTTGGTTCAATCCGGGCGACATAGTTATCACTGAAACAGGTACATCTGCGTTTGGGATAAATCAGAGCAAGTTTCCCAGCAGGACACGTTGTATATCACAGGCGCTTTGGGGATCGGTAGGATATTCCATTGGGGCATGTTTGGGGGCCTCTTTTGCTGCTCGAGAGGAGGGCAGCGATCCGCGCGTTATTCTATTTGTTGGTGATGGTGCTTTACAATTGACAGTTCAAGAAATATCAACGATGATCCGCTGGGGGCTAAAGCCTATAATTTTCCTCATGAACAATAGTGGGTATACCATTGATAGACTATTGCATAAAAAATCTAATGCTGGTTATCATGATATTCAATCGTGGGATAACTTGAGCATTCTTTCGACCTTCGGCGCCTCACATTACGATACCCGCAAAGTTAGAACTGTAGGAGATTTTTTGGCATTGATGACAGACCCAGCATTCGCAATCAACGATAAAATAAAGATGGTGGAGGTTGTGCTACCACCTATGGATGCACCACCTGCTTTGATGGAAAAGTGGCTATTGGATGACAAACTATCTGGGGTTTTAGATGACGGTACTGACGAATCCTTAGCAGAGGAGCCATCTTTAAAAAGAGTGAAAATGAGTGAGAGTTTTGATATTGACTATGATGAGATGGATGATAATGTTAGTTCCGGATAATACGTAATAATACTCAGGACTGCTGCGGCAACGAAGTTCGGGGTTTTGCTCAACTTTCAGAACCGATTCAACTCTGCATGTCTGTGAAACGGCAAATGATAGGAGCGACAACATACCGAATTGCTCATAAGAAAATCGTCGGGACCATCAAATGTTTTGAACATTTGTTAGCTAATGTCTACTTGAAATACACTCTCCAAGCACTTGATTGCATATCCGATTCTATGTATACAATTTAATATTTTCAGAGATACTGAGTTTTCCACAAGCAATCTATTCATGCTTGGCATGTTTTTGACAAAGATGCGTGTAGACCGCTTTTTATAACTAAGTTGCACTAAAAACTTTCGCAAATGCTGCGATTTTTTTAATCGTGTTTTCCACCCTTCACCATTATGTTATGGCACATTTTATACCCTCTGCGTAAAAATTATTCAACAGTTCGCACTGTCTAGTTTCAATGGAAGCCTGCTAACGTACCACTTTGAATTTTAAAGCGCACCTGCTATTCCCAAAACAAAATGCTTGCGTCCCTTCACTGAAACAGACGGCTGGACCTTCACGCAGGCTTTTCGAGCGTAAGAGAATATTGTAGTCTACAGGCACAACAATCGTTGCCTTTGATTATGCGACAAAGCCCACTGATGTGATAGCCGCTTTCGTCTTAGGCATGCATTTACATGTGAAAAACGACTGATAACATCCGATTACTGCATTTCAGACAATTATCTCGTCGTCATCGAATTTCGCTGTAAAGCAGACGAAGTTGGGAAATCAAGTAGGTATGTTTTTTAGTTATGGCCAAAAGGAGCTGTACCAGAACACTAACTCAAGGTTTCTTGATACGTGTGAAATATCGGAGAGCTTGGTCAAAAAAAACAACCTTTTAAGCTGCGGTTGAGGTATTCCAGGCGTAGCTACCCCAAAGCAGACTAAAAGGCCACTTGGTTTAAGAATCGCTTTTGGTGCTGTCACTCATAGAGCTCTTCAAAGGATATCCAACAAACGTACAGACTTTAATCACAATTTGAAGTCGAAATGATGCCCGTGGCATGACCGATGTGTTGAAGCGATGCCTAGAAAAAAAGCTTGTGGTCTGTTTTCTGGAAGGTTGATTGTAAGCGCCAAAACATGCTTCTTAAAGAATTGGTGTCTATGCAGCATAAACAGGCGTGCGTTAGCTGCAAACGATGCCAAGCTTTCAAGTTTTGATTTCAGAAACCTTGCAGCTTCCACTGCTTGGAATTTGTGGGTGTGTCTTCAACATAGGTGGCGCGTCCGTAGTGCGTTTAACGATTTATTGAAGTTGGCGAGTTTCGCCGGAGGTTTTCTTTGCTGAAGAAATACTCAAAAGTTTTAGAAGTCTATTAGGCATTTACGAGGCTCGATTCCTCCCCATTCCAATTACCTGCCAAAGTTGCTTCAATGCCTTGGTTTGAGTTAATCGATATTCAAGTATTCAATACCCCACAGGTATTTTTTTCCTAACCAAGAGATACCTGTCAAATATCTCACGAGTGCCGAGAATAAAGCTTCTTGTGTCTTGTAGTTTCTGCGAGGTTGAGTGCCTCCAATCTCCAAAAGAGAAGCTCATAGACACCTGAATAGCTTTGAAGCCCGAATGCTTAAAAACGGCACTTGGCTCAGTGTCTTCTCGATCCATATCCGTTCCGAAGAGGGTATAACGGCAGCTATTTGATCAACATGAACCCTCGAGTTTATGGAATATTTTTGGTCGTCCAATTAGAATCTGGGCTTCAAAAAGCCTAAAAGTGCAAGCTGAGCAGAATCCTATGTGCCTCCTCACCCCATTAATCGTCTCAAGCTCCTGTTCTTGCCGACAACAAGTATATCGGCTACTAGACAGTTTCAACGCTAATCCCGGCAAAAAGTAACCTCAAAACAGCCGCGGAATCACTTATGAAGTCACATTTGTCTAGCTGGATATAGATGAGCAACTAAGCAGCATTTCGCCTGTAGAAAAACGCACACTTCAGCGCCTCGTGTGGATTTTTCGTTGTCTAGAAAGGTAAGTTTGAGTTTCATTTTGCCGCCCATCTAACAATTTTATATTCCAAAAAGCCAGTTATAACTGTACACGAATATCGCATTTCACGTAAAAGTCATCTGACTTTTATTAATTTATTTTTTCTGAAAAACTTATGTATTACATAATCATTGTTTTTTCATCTAATAATTCAATATTGAAGTTTACCCATACCAAGAACAAACATCTGATTGATCGCATCATCAGTGGAAAACACAGCTTTATAGCATAACACTACAAGTCTCAAAGCATCCACGTCTGGCCAATAGTTTGAGACTTTCGTAAACAAGATTGAAACTTTCTATTTGGAAACGGGTGGGCAAGGCCTGGCACTCACCATTCGATTGTAGAAAACAAGGGCTTTTAAAGGTTGAAAACTAGGGTTTATTGCGGCTTAAACTGATCAGGCTGAAAGCAGTTTAAGAAAGCAAGGAGAAAATCATCAGTGGGAAGGCTGAGACAAGCTTATTCTATTATTCACGATGAGCAAACAGGATTCCGAAAGTGCCGGCCACAACCGTTCAGCGTCTGTGATGCCTCCACCGCCGCCTGCTTTGATTGCAGGCGGTGCAGGAACAGCTGGTGTGGGAGTGGGAGTGGGAGTGGGAGCAGGAGCAGGAGCAGGAGCAGGTGCCATACCAGGAGCAGGAAATCCTGGAATTGGGCCCAGAGCTGATTCGATTTCCATGTATACAAATTTCAATGCCCCACGTCTGTCAACAGACGCTTCGTTGTCGTCGTTTCTCAACATTGCGGAATCGCAGGGCCAGAATACTCAAATGGAACAACTTCAACAGCAACAGCTACCGCAACAGCTACCGCAACAGCTACCGCAACAGCTACCGCAACAGCAGCCACACCAACAACAACAGCAACAGCAACACAACCAACAGCACCACCAGCAACAGCAGCAGCAGCATCAGCAGGAGCAACAACATGTGCAAGGCACACAGGGGCTCTCAAGGTGCACAGAGTGCACAGAGTGCACAGCAATCGCATCAGGTTCCATCACGTTCCGATTTTGGGCCTTACAGTCGAGGTTACTCAATTATCAATAGCTTTTGGCCTGGAAATGCAGGCAACCAAAACCAGGTACCAGCCATGCCTCCATCGGATGGTGGCGGTGGCCAGTTCACCACAATGCGACGCCAAAGTGAACAATTGGAGCCATTTATGCCCCGGTTTAAAACTCCTAGCTTCTCGTCAGGTGTCCCGGGATCTGGCCAATATCAAACGCAGCCAATCCCACCGCATAGCAGCGGAGCTCGGGGCTCTGAAGCATTGATGCCCAATTCCAAACGCAATTCCATCTTCTTCAGCGGTGCTGAACCCCCGGATCTCGACTTTTTTTATTCCAACAAACAACGTGATTCCCAGTACGCCATGCGGCCTCCACATATTCTACCACATCGCAACAGCTCTTCTGGCGGCATGTCCCTATTGGGCCGTCCCAGCTTGACTGCTGGGTATCCCAGCGTCAATGAAAATGCTACATCTATCCCCAATAATAACGGCTCCGAAAATAATGACAATACCAGTAATTCAAGGCCCTTAGAGGCTAACAACCCTGCAAACTCCGCTGGATCCACAGGCTCTTTGCCTCCACCAACAGCACAAGACTCAGATCTAGAGGCGATCTTCAATCAAGGTCTTTCGTCACGGAAAAATTCCATGCGGTTTTCTACCGATGATTTCGACTTCGATTTTAGGAGACGAGACTCGTCTTTGAGAGGGGCATTAGAAAACCCTAGCTACGTTTCTGGTGCACCACTGGTACCAATTGGAGCCGGTAAATCGGATGCGGTTGGTGGGCATCCACCCAAGGCCAAGTCCCTTTCTGGATCGCCCTTGACTACAACCGCCACTCACCAGGATACCGTACCCCAGCTTATTTCAGATATCCAGCCACCCAAGCGGGCTGGTAAGCAGGACGCCCACTTGCAAGCGCCAGCGACGAAAAAATTGCATCGTAATGGTAACAGCAACATCAGCTCGCAAGTCAAGACGGAAGGCGTGAACAACATAATGAACTATTTGGAGCCCAAAGATCCGCTATCAGTCACGGACGAGGTGCGTCCCCTATTGGGTGCTACCAAAATTGATCAGTTGGTTCTCATGATTCAAGCACGCAAAAAAGGCGTAACAGATCGCATACCTCGTGGACCAGATGGAAACGTTCTTATTGAAGATGCTCCTGGCCTTATTCCACCTCCGAGCGAGTTGATGGGCGGAATAGAAAAACCGAAGGTAAACACCACAAAGCAACACGAATGCCCTTACTGTCATAAGTGCTTTACACAATCTACACATCTCGAGGTTCATGTGCGCTCACATGTGGGCCATAAGCCTTTCTTATGTGAATTTTGTGGCAAAAGGTTCACACAAGGTGGAAATCTACGGACGCATGTCCGCTTACATACTGGTGAAAAGCCGTACGAGTGTGATCGATGTGGACGTCGCTTCTCCAGAAAGGGAAACCTAGCAACTCACAGACTGACGCATGACAACATGCGACCCTTCCAATGTAAGCTGGATGGTTGCTCGCGAACCTTCGCACAATTGGGGAATATGAAAGCTCATCAAAATCGTTCCCATCAGGCCACGGTGAATGCCCTAACTCAAAGACTTGCCGAGATTGATTCTAACGAGAAAATTGCGCCGGAAGAAAGAGAAATGGTGGAGTATTTTGCAGATTTGTACAAGAATTCGAACAGAGGCATAAAGGGACGAGGCAAGGGCAATACACGGGTGACGCGAACAACAAGTCCCACGGAGTTGACCTCTCCACAACGCGGAGGCCACGAAGCAGCGATCGATGTTAGCACAAAGCAAGCAAACGAAGCGGGAAGCCCTACAGACACGTCCAAACCGCTCGATCTGCCGCGCCCCACAGACCCCACAGATCGGCCTGACATACCCTACGGCTTAGAATTGCCAGAAAGTAGTGACGTTGCTCCAGGTGGGAACCCGATTGATCCCGGCTCAATGAATGATGGCCCGGTCCCGGATCCTCATGACTTCACATTTGGCCTGAACCAGCATATCAAGACAGAACCGAATGATCGATTTCGGCTACCTACAAACGGAAACGCAAGTCTCAATTTCAAGGACGTCCCCTTCGACTCCTAGAACTCAAACTGCATTCCGCACATCACTCAAACGGCTTTCCCCTTTGATCTCTGTTCAGACTTGGAAAAGTTCGAGCTACGGTTCAAGCGATCAATCTGAATTTTACATGGACTACACGGACTATACAGGAATCTCTCTACATCCCTGTTGTATTATATATACGTATTTACTGTTGACTGGAAACCCTTTCGTTCACTCATGGAAACTGGAGCTAACTAGTAGCTTGTGTTTAAACCAGACGCGTAAAATAAATATGTTATTAAACGCGAAATCGTGGATCTAGTGAAGTTAACGAACATAGACAGTTCTCCAGAGCATCAAGCGATCTTGGTCACTGGAGGCTGTGAGCTATCAACTATTCGGTGCTGAAATCAGATACCTAAGCAATGCGGCTCAACCTTACTCTACATGCAAACGTTTCCCGAACATCGTTTGTCAATCGAAAGTCATTCGAGAAGCTGGATACGATGCCAACCACAGTATTCCAATACTACTTTCAGCTTCAAGTAAAAGATCTGCACATTCACTCCCCCGAGACTGAATTGATACATTGGGTTTCCAGAAACAGCTCTTTCAAACGATTCAAACGCAAAGAATGGGAGTCCTTGTCGCTTTCGAAAAGAAGGATATACAATGCATTGTACTTCCATTTTACGGGGCTGAACTATCGAACTTTGGGCCATGAAGAAGTGGCAAGAAGACTTGAAATACCGATCCCGCCTATAAGTGAGTACCTGCTCTTCAGAAACAAATTCAAATCAAAGTTTGATCTTTTGTGGGAGGAACAGCGGAACCGCGATCTACTGAAACGCACTCCCAAATTGATACTCCGATCTAAATCTTCCGGTGCTGTCAAAAGTCCACGCTTTTCAGCAGCTTGCTCTATAGAAAGTGATCCGGATCTGACCATTCGCTTCCACGATATGTGTCGCGAATGTAGGAGAACATGGCGAGAGAAGGTGAGCAGTTTGCAGAAAGCCGAGATTGGAGAAAAGCTGCGGGAACAGCGCAGAAGTTTCCGCAAACTCATGGACAAGGAGATCGAAGTCTTGGACAGTCTTCAAAGTCTACTCGTCGATCGACTGAAAGATGCAAATATGCTAAATTCAGGTACTATTGACCTCGAGAAGGGAACTACGCAACGAAACACGAACAGACTGGCATTTTTGGTTACACATAGCGACAAAGAGTGACTGACCTGACCCTGGTCCAAAGTTAAACACATTTAGGTGAAGGCGAAAAAAAGATACCCTATAAAAGGTACATACTCGCTAGTTCTCCAGCGCAACTTGAACATTAAACATGACCGCCCGCGAACTGACCGGAAATTTAGATTTTGAAGACTCAGGATCTTCCACCAGAGTAGCGGTACAAACGACAGCATCCTTTTCTTGGAAACCAAGCGAGTATAGTACCCCGCGAATGACCCCGCACGGGAATTGAAGATATGGCTCAATCAGTGATTTCTCATCTTCTGATGCATCGTCGTCAAGAAATAACGACTCCACTGGCTTATAGTTGCTATCCAGCAGATAGAAAGTTCCACGGTGATTTGTCTTCAAGTTGTCAATCTGCTTACCGAAAAGCTGTCTCCAAACGTCACGACATACAAATTTCATCACTGCAAGCAGGTCCATATCTCTGAAGCTTAGGCTGGGGTTATTGCTGAATATGAGCAGTTGTGACAATTTCTGGCCTAACGAGAACCCGATATTGTTAAGCCGCTGGTCTATTTTTTCCTGCTCATCTGGTCCGGATGTCAAGTACTTTTGAAGAAGCTTATGGGAGGGAACGTGTTCCTTCAGAGGATCCAAAGTCAATTTTTCGTCTATTTCCTTATCCCCTGTGTGCCTTGGATATCCGAGTTGTCGCAAGTGAATCCTTTGCTGAGTTTATCTTCTACGCTGACTGCCATTGGTATGGTCTCATTTAGCAGCATCCGGTAGACAATGTCGTTCACTTTCGGTAGTGATTCCTGGAACAGCTGAAATTGCAGCTGTTGTTTTTGATGTTCCGTCATCTCGGGTTTCTGATTGGCATCCATCTTGGCCGCGAGCAACTATTGAGAAGGTGGAGATTCGGCCTAGTGCTCTTTAATGCAATAGTTAAGGTATTTGTGCTTGAAAAAGCGGTTTAAAACAATGCTGAAATATTCTTATACAAAGTGAATACTGTGAATTCAAAAATGACCTTCTTATAGGGTTAAAATTGAGCCAGTTTGATGCTTTCTTGTCTTGCTATTTCTTGGAATCATTTCGAGCTTTTACAATGAACCATATTAAAGTAATCATCCTCCTATAATTCAAGAATTTAAACGTTAACAAACATCTTTGAACATCAACTTTCTAACGTAAGAGACGCTCTTCTCAGAACTATAAAAACCGCTAGTCTCTTAGTGACACATTGGTAAAGCTCAATGTCGGCTGAGATTTCGATCGGTGACGAAATCAAGGATGGTTTCAAGGAAACCTTCAAATGGGTTCAAAACAACATCAAATGGCTTTCAGAGCTAGAATCCTTCTACAGAGAGCGAGCAAAACTTGAGAAGGAATATAGTGCCAAACTCGCGCATTTGACGGGTGAATATTTCAGCAAAAAAAGTGCTTCTACAGTTTCGTTGTCAGTAGGTGATACACCAACAACAACTCCAGGCTCACTAGAAGCTGCATCTTTAGTGGCCTGGAACGAGATTTTATCCCAAACAGAAAAAATGTCGCAAGACCACAACCAATTGGCTCAGGAATTCGAATTTCAAGTCGGCGACCAGCTTGTAGCGCTAAGCAGGAAATGCGAACTTCTGGCATCAACAATCAACGGTTCCAATAACGCGTTGGTTGAAAAGCGCGATAAGGCATATTCGGCGCTTGAGAAGGCCAAGAAAACGTATGACGAGAAGTGTGCTCAAATGGAGAGTGCGCGGGCCAAACAGACCAAATCTTCCAGCGATAGATCTCAACGTAAGGCCGATGACAGAGAGCATGAGATGAATATAGCCAAAAATCAATATTTGGTCAAAATAAATCAAGCTAACAGAATCAAGGACAAGTACTATTTCCAAGACGTACCAGAAGTACTGGACTTGTTGCAAGATTTGCATGAAAGTCGTACGCGCTCCTTGAAAGCTATATGGACGTCAGCCAGCTCTGTGGAAAAAGAAATGTGCAAACGAATTGACGTGAGACTATCCACGGCAGACTCGGTGGTAGCGCAAAACAAACCAGGATTGGACTCGACAATGTTTGTCAAGCACAATTTGAAAGACTGGAAAGAACCTGCTGACCTCCAGTATGTGCCCTCCTCTGTCTGGCACGACGATGAACAGTTTGTAGTATCGTCAAACGCGGAATTGCAAGACCTGAGAGTTAGGCTAGCAAAAGCCCAGCAAAGTTATGAACAAATGAACGGTTTCGCGGGCTCGGAATTAGAAGATTTGACGTCGCTTAACAAACAGAGACAAAGTGTTAAATCACAGGATACTGCAAACGGGGAGCAAGCATTGGCGCTACTTTCTAAGTATGTGAGGTCTTTGACGTCTTACACGTCTCACGAGTCTGCAAAGCTCGAGGCGCTTGTTGAGATTGAAAGTATTCAGAACAATGTGCCCGAGGAGCATGATCTGAATACTGATGGGATCGACCTGGAAAAGTTGGGCAAAAAGTCCGGAGTTTTCAACAGATTCAAGAGAAGCCTGACAATGTCCTCTGACAAAAAAAGCGTACGGGAAGACACAGCGGACATGTCATCGGCCATATCATCTGAATCCAAAGGAAAACAAAGTCACCACCACTTATCTTTTTTGCGGGGCAGAAGACAAGCCAAGACTAATGAATCGAGTTACTCTATGAATACGGGAAGCGACGTGAATAGTTTTGTCGAGCAAGCAGGCTCTACAAAGAATGCCGTCTTGTACGAATATCAAAAACAGGATAACGATGAAGCAAGTATTGCACTTGGTGACATTTTCTCAGTCTTGACTTTAGACACGGGTAGTGGCTGGACAAAAATTAGGAACGAAAATACGGGCGAAACAGGACTTGTTCCAAGTAGCTACATCGAAGTGCGTGAAAAGCCTCGCACGAATGCTCCTCGCGCTCCGCCACCCAGAAAGTCCGCTGCGAGTAGAACAGTGGAAGCTATCTATGCATATGAGGCTGAGGATGACGGAGAGCTGTCCATTCAGGCAGGGGACATCGTTGCTGTTCTGCGGGATGACGATGGTAGCGGCTGGACCTTTGGTGAGATCCGTGGGGCTAAAGGTTTGTTCCCAACCAGCTATTGCAAGTGACAAGAAAAACAATCTTGCGGAATTACTGGCCACATGAAGAGTTAAACCAACTAAAAAGTTGGAAAATAAACTTAGGGGAAAATGGGACTTTCAAATCAAATCATCTGCATATTTTCTGCATCAACGACGCGCGTTGAGTTCAAGAAGTTTTGCGTTCCGGTGAGAGTGCATGCAGCTCATCGTGATGTGACGGTAATCAGAAAAAATAAAGTCTACGACAAGCAATACAATCGAGAGAATTACAAATTGTGCATTCTGTCTTAAGATAGAATTCGATGCTAACGTTAGTGACTTGAAGAACTTCAACAGTTCCAGGAGACGCAGTTTGGTATATCGGGCGAAACAGCGTGGACTAAAGTGATGTCAAGTGCAGTGCTGTCCAACGGGTTGACCCGGATCAAAAATTTGCAACCCGGGTTGCAAAATTCGGGTACTTAACGGGTTGCTGTTTTTTTTCAATCAGGTCTTTGAGTATTAATAATTTAATATTTACGGATCCTTCAGTGAGTTTCAATCACATTCAATAGCGTCGCTAACGGGTTGGGAACACCTCACATCGCCTCGGTGACAAAGAGGAGCAGCTCATGTTTGTTCGCGATGCTAAAAAACGTTTAGACTTGATATGAATTGTATAATGCTACCTGGGCTAAATACTGGTCAAAATACTAATTACGCCGCCCAGCGACCGTCGAGATGGTCATCATCATCATAGGCATCATCATCATCAACACCGTAATCATCATCCTGACAATCATCCTC